TGAAAGCGGTTTTCTCCTCATCTTCAGGATTCATGGGAATCTGATTATAGCCGGAGTATGCATCGAGGAATGTGAGCCTCTCATAACCTGTCGTAGCATCCACCATTTGATCAATCTTGGGCAGAGGGAAGCTATCTTTTGGGCAAGCTTTGTTAAGGTTGGTATAATCTACGCATACCCTCTATTTCCCATTATTCTTTTGAACGACTACTACATTTGAGAGCCATTGTGGGTATTGCACCTCTCGAATGAATCCTGCTTGTAATAGTTTATTTACTTCCTCGGCTATTATGCGATTCCGTTCAGGTGTGAATCGTCGGTGCCTCTGCTTGACTGGCCTGAACTCTGGGTTAACCCTCAAACTATGGCAGGAGACCGTAGGATCGATCCCCACCATGTCCGAGTGATCCCAGGCAAAGACATCCGAATTGCACCGAATGACCCTGATCAATGCTTCCTTCTCTTCGGCTGTGCAAGATGAGCCAATGTAGGTGACCTTCTGAGGGTCTCCGAGTACTCCAAGGGTTGTTTCATGAGCTGAGGAGTTGCGAACCTCGTCTTATTCTCTTGGAATAGGCGCGCTAAGGTAGTACGGAGAGGGGTAAGCCTGTCCTCTGTCCTTTGCCTCTTCTCAGGCGCTTGGGTGACTTGTGTGGCAGCATGAGGAACCTTCTACATCCTTGTACTTGCAGCTTTCTCTCGAGCCTTTTTTTCCACTGTGATGAGGGTAGCGTGCTGTGCACGGTGGGCTACGTTTTCCTCCAACCGAATGTAGATTTGTGCCCTAGCGTTCAAAGTCTGCATATCCGGGGGGGAATATTTGATCAAGGATGTGTGAAACTTGGTTCCCTGGATCATTGCCAACTTAAATGTTTCGATTGCCGTGGCAGGGTGGCAATCTGCTATCTCCGAGGCTTCCATGTTAAACTTGGATAAGAAATCTTGCAGAGTTTCTCCCTTCCTTTGCCTTATGGTGAAAAGGCTGGCGATACTTTTCTTCTGCTTCTTATTTTCGCAATACTGGGCTAAGAACATAGTGCATAAGGTCTCATAATCAGGGATAGACTTGTGTGGCCTGTTCCTGAACCATTCTAACGCTGCTCCGGTTAAACTGGTAGGAAAAATCTTACACATCCACGGATCGTTATGATCGTCCAGTGCCATCTTTTACGCATAATGATCGAGATGCCGAGAGGGGTCTCCTGCCCCATCAAACTGGGTGAAGGATGGCATAGTGAACTTCCTTGGTCTCTCCACAAAGTACACATCGTCAGTAAAGGGGGTCTTGACCAAGGAGTTCTTGTGCTCTCTAGCCATCTCGGCTTGGGTCTGAACTCTTAATAGCTTCTTTTCGTCGAAGGCATCTTGTACGCGTACGCCATCTGGAACGCCATTGGACCATACCGTAAGCCTATGGCTGGACTCGGCCTGTTCGTCCTGTGTGCGACGCGGGAGATTATCCGAAGCAACCGCCTCGGACCTTGTCCCTTGCCGTTGCTGAACCTCATTAGGTCGAGCCCTGTTGGCTGGTGTCCCGTTGGCCGGAGGCTCGTGAACTAGAGGTAAATTTTGGGTGGGGGTGGTGCTGCAGCATCGCCTGGTGGTGGTTGTGGCGTTAGCCTGGCCATTGCCGTGTGCAGCGTATGAGTTTGCTGCTGAAGCGCAGCTATCTGGGCGACACTTGTATCGTTTGCTTGCCGGAGTGTCTCAAATTGGTGCAAGAACTCCTCTCGCATCTTTTGCATCAATTCTATCTGTTGATTCATTGCTGACTCTCCGTTTGACATTCCAGATACAACTAAGGATTTGATTTGAAGAACAAGTGGGAGTATATTTTTATACGATTCCCACAGACGGCGCCAAAGTGTAGGTGCAAAATTTCGCTCAACCAATAATGATTAAGAAAAATAGAACAACTCACTCAATCAATAGTAAAAATAAACAAGAACAATATATGTCGAAGCGTAGAATTGCTTGATCCCTTTATTGGAGGTCTAAGCCTCTATTTATATACAAAAGATTGTAAAATTATGGTAGGACTCGCCTTACTTGTCCTCCAATTCTTTCTATATAAACATTCTTTACTAATAGAGTTCTTTCCATTGTCTAATTTTCCATACATAGAACTTGCCTTGTACAGAACTTCCTATCTCAGAATTTTCCTTCTACGATAAATCCTTCAACTGGTAGGACTTGTACATTCTTGAATAATTGGGCTGAACATACTTTGATCCGGCTGGACTTGAGTAACGGACCGGATGTTAAATATTAACAAGTTGGGCTGATGACTTCTTGATTCGGCCTTGATAGAGGTTGGAAGACAAATAACAATGGTCTTGGGCTAAAAATACACTCAATTTGGGCTTGAGCATGACTGGCCTTACATATCCTTAGAATGTAAATATGTATAGTGATAACGTGTACGCTTCTTATTGGAGAGAGTTTTTTCCCTCCACAATATTCCTCTCAAATTTTTCATTGTCTATCAAAATTGTTAAGATTCGTGTCATTCTCTAATGAGAATTGTGCACGTAATTAGTGTGTGTCAAAAAGGACAAATAGATGTAATCATTAGCCACATTACAGGTGTTGCGAATGTTATTAACATCCCTCCTCAATGGGTTAGGTTTGGGCATTAAAATTATTTTATGTTCCTTATATATATATATATCTGACTATGCAAGTTATTGATATATCAGCCACAAAAACAAACCCTGACACTTTGACGAGGCTTTCAAAGGTTCAAATGATAAAATGCGCATGGTCTCATTTTATTACCCTACACTGCAGGCACATATTCTAATTCCGTTGATTTGTGGACCACTCGTGATTTTCTTCATTATAATCGTAATCAATCTGTGATCATTGTCAAAACCACTTTACTACAATCAAGTATTCCCAATAACATAACAACCTAATCAATTATTTCGATAAGAACCTGAAAGTTGCCCTAATTAATACAGATTTTTTCATTTATTTTTATCACGATTAATACCAATGACGAGACATGAACTCTTTTTTTATATTAACCCTAATTAATAAAGTCAATTAGAATCATTTAATAAATATTTAAGATAAAAATCTAATAAATATTTAAATTTTGTACTTAAACAAAGAGAGCTCATGATGGAGGCTTACTCATTATTAAAACTTGTTTATATATATACACATATATATATATATATATATTAAGAGGCCATATTTGTATTCTACTTTTTTATATTTACACTCTAATTTATTTATGTTTAATGTAAATAATAAAATAATCTCTAAGCTAATTAATACATCATTCCTTATTTTATTATACCATAACTACCCTTTTTTCGCTATAATTTTTTTAATATATATTTTTTATCTTTTTACCTACTCCTAAATAGTTTAACCTTGTAATAAATCAATTTTCCTCTTAGATTTTACTTGGCATAAATGTATTAACTAATTTTAGATTAAACTATCCTTTCATCGTCGTCTTCTTTCCCCCTTTTCTTTCTATATAAGTTATTCTTCTATTTTGCTGAAATTATTCTTTCTATAAAATATTTTTCTTAAAGAACTCTGGATTATTTTTTTTTCCCTTTTCTGTTGTCTTCAATTAATATCATATATTGTTAATCTTTAAGTAAAAAAAAATTATACTCCAAGGGAAAAAAAAACGGCTAAAATATTTGAAAGGTGAGTTATATGAATATAAGTTTTGACAGAGTTAAATTAAGAATTATGTTTCAATTGAATTTAAGAGAAGTAAAAACAAAAAATAAGGATACAAAAACTTGATTAGAGCTACAAAAGCTTAAATATCATGTCAAAATGCAAACATAGTTGTATATAATACATATCTTTCTCCCTTTCTTTTGTTTTTTTCCCATAAAATACATGTTCTTGAAATTTTATTGTCAACACAGTTAGAACTTTTCTATCAATAAGAAAAACTTTGAGATTTAAATACATTCTAAATTAATTCTTAAAAATTACATGAAGTAAAAAATTCGAATTAAACTCAAAATACACAATACGAGAAAAAAAAAAAAAAAAAAAAAAAAATTACAATCACTATCTACATCAATGGTGTTGAATGACTCATCAAGTTTTGGTAGTCTTACATATTTCTTGTGCTAATCTTCCATTATTATATACAACGATTAAAAAAGTAGAGAAAGAACTGACAGAGGCTATGAAGTGAACCAAATCGTAAATAGGGGAGAGAGGGTGAGATAAATATATCTTTCTATAACTAAAAGGGTAATTGTGGTATTTGAAAAAAAAAATTATTTATTTATAAAATTAGGAATTTAACTGTCTTTTCGTTTAAGTGTATAGTGTAATCGTAAAAAAATAGAGTGCAAATATCGCATTCCTATATATATATATATATATATATATATATATTTATTGTACCACTTTCTTTTTTAATACAACTGCAAACTACAAAACAGTTGACACCCGGGGCTTGACTGTAATCTAATAGTATTGATAAAATAGAAGAGGAGAGTTCATGTTTTTATTTTTGTCATCATTAACAGTTATTTAATAAAATATTAAAAATTAAATTATCAGATTTTTCTCGCTCTAAATTTTTAGAGGGTCAAAAAAAAAAAAAACTGAGCAACTGCATTGCTTATTAATTAGATAAATTGCATCAATCTTCCAAGAATAAATTAGCGTTTATTATTTTTACCTTCTTTTCCAAGTCCTTAACGCACCAAAAAGGTGACTTTAAAAGTAAAAAATTAATAATTCTTTGATTTTATAATTCTTATATAAAGAAATAATAAAATTATTATTTTATAAAATTTGGTAAAAAAATTTAACCAAAAGAAACAATAGTTACAATAGGGATTGTTGGGCACTCGCGCCAAAGTATATCCTTATTAATACGGCTGATATATGATATATATATATATATAACAGTTGGTGTATTAAATAAAAAAGCCGTCTGCGGTAAAGGAACTACCGTATAAGTGCCCCCATAAAACAGTTACAGAAAGGCGTGACATGTACATGTAGAGAGAGAGAGAGAGAGAGAGTGTGGGAGGGGGGAGAAAGAATTTAATAATCAACGAAACTGGGCTAGTAGAATTAGTATATATCTCCTCTCTGACGTCGTCTCTCTCTTATCTTTTATAATACACAAGTCTTTCTTTCACAAACTCTCCCTCTTTTTCTCTCTCAATTTTTATTTTTATTTTTAATTTTTTTTTTTATGCTTTCTTCACACTCTCTCTCTCTCTACTTTCTCTCTCATCCTGGGACGCGGGCAAAGCCGCAAACAAAGGCTCCACCTTCTGCATCAAACCCAGGTTTTCTTCTTCTCATATCAGAATCTTTGTCTTTTTCTCTTTCTTTCTTCTTACTGATTTATATATATTATGTTTGTGCATATCATTTATATATATATATATATATATATATCTTAATATTGCTTTGCGTTTCTACTGTGTTGAGCTTCTGATTTCGATTTTTCATAATTTGATCCACATGCCATCTTTGTATAAATATTTATTTTTGGTCAATATTTTTCAATTACGATTTTCTTTATTTTCTCTTATTGAAAAGATTTGATTTTTTATTTGGGTTTGATAATTGTGATTGATCTTATGCTTTTTTTGATTAATGTGAATCCTATTGATACAATTTGTTTTTAAGACTCTGTTCCAATAGATTGAGTTTATAAACAAGGGTTTGTCTTAAGGTGATTATGGATTATTCTTCAGATTGTGCGAAGATTTGGCATTGATTTGCTTAATACTATGCCCTCATCATGAAAAGCGATTGACAATTGCATAAATGTTAGCTCCCGTCTGCGATATAGATTTTACTAATTGTTTAATCTCCTTTGTTTCTATTTTTAATTAGTTATTCAACTCTCTATAAATATAATATTGATGCATAATAATTAATTTGTCTTATTGTCTCTTCATTTCATTACTTATACTAGCTGTTTATGAATGTGTGTATTAAATTAATAGGATGGGGTTGGTTTTTTTATTATTGGTTTTCAGAGTTCAAATTCCGGAATTCATTTGAAGATCTTGATCTGTAATTGTGCATTTACCGACCACCATTCATAAGCTCAACAGCAAATGTCACTACTGTTTGGGGATTGAGAAAATTTTGGCATGTGATAGTTATTTGGTGGAACCCATGATAAAGTTTAGCAATGAAGTCGCTGAACATGGAAAAGAAATGGGTTTTCCCTCTTTTTATAAGTTCCCTCGTATGCGTTTTCCTTCTTGCAACTTCCTTCAATATGGGTATTGTTTCTTCCTTACATACAATTAATAGGTTCTTCTCAATTTTACCGTATAATGGTTTGGCAAACCAAACAAGACCACTTTTTGCGGAAACACAGAACAATCAAGCTCCACCCCCTCCTCCCGAGTCCACTGTTCCTCGTTTTGCTTATCTTGTTTCGGGATCAAGAGGTGATTTAGAAAAGCTTTGGAGAACTCTTCAAACTTTGTATCATCCGTTGAACCAATATGTTCTTCATCTGGATCTAGAATCTCCAGCAGAGGAGAGATTAGAGCTTGCTTCCCGTGTGGAAAAAAATCCAATTTTTTCCAAGGTTGGGAATGTTCACATGATTACCAAAGCTAACATGGTTACTTATAGAGGACCCACCATGGTTGCGAACACTCTTCATGCTTGCGCGATTCTTCTCAAGAAAAGTAAGGAGTGGGATTGGTTTATTAACCTCAGCGCTTCAGATTATCCTCTTGTGACTCAAGATGGTTTGTCCCTTTCTTAATTTATATGCATTTTTTATTGTTATAATTTTTTTTTTGGTTGAGGTATTTTGTTGTTGTTTACAAGAATTGTTTAATTTATTTAGCTTGTTCTGCTCAGATCTTCTTTACATGTTTTCTGATTTAAACCGAGACCTGAATTTCATCGAGCACACAAGCCGGTTAGGTTGGAAGGAGTAAGCTCTCACTCTCTCTCTCTCTCTCTCTCTATATATATATATATATAATATACAGATCTCTGAGTAAACTGTACATTAAGAAACTGTATTTGTATAATGTTGTTGTTTTGGTTCTGTTTGCAGGAATCAAAGGGCAATGCCTTTGATTGTTGATCCTGGTCTCTACCGGTCAAAGAAGTCAGATATATTTTGGGTCTCACCAAGGAGAACTTTGCCAACTGCCTTTAAATTATTTACAGGTTAGTAGTTGTGCATTGGAGCATTTTAAGCTTTGCGTTAACTAATGAAACTGTTCGCTGTTTAGATTCTTAGAATTGCAATCTATCAATATTCATGAAACCCCACATTTCAATTATCTGTTCTTGAAATTTCAATTGGGTTTGCTTTTTTCCTTTACCTCCTTTTCTTTTTTCAATTTTTGATCCGTATTGTTTGTTAGTTTTAACTTTTAACTTCCAATTGCCAGTAGAATTTTATCTAGCCTCTTTGAACCTAATTTTTATTTATTTATTTATTTATTTTTTTAAGGAAAAGGTTACTAACTGCGAAATCTGCATTTATCTTAATTGTCTCGACTTCTTTTCCAGACTTGAAAGCAAAAATGGGTCTAGCCTGATAGTTTTAGAAATTATTTCAAGGATGACTAGGAATGTTCTGTGGATTTTTTTCAGACAGTTCTAGCAGTCGGTTAAATCTTTCATCATGACATTTCCATTTAATATGCTGCTGAAAAATCATGTTGTCTGAAATTAATTCAATAATTTATTTGAATTAATCAGGATTTATGAGTATCGTTAAACATTCTTTGTTGTAACTATAGCTCTGCTCAAAACATAGTTATCTTGATCTTGGTTAGGCTTATTTATAAAGTATAAATAAATTAGTCTATCAAACCATTTTACATAAGAAATTCTATTTGGATTAAGCTCGCTTTGAGTATCAGCCACCCTGAAATAGAACCAAACCATGGACTTTAAGCTAATCAGTGGAGGACCGTGGTCTACATATCTGGAATTTTGGATGTAGCTGAATCACTAGTTTGATCACTAGAAGAAAGTGAACTGCTTTGCACACACTTTACCAGCCTTTTTCCGTCACAGTAAACTAATTTATGTTATGGAAATTGTCGTATACCATTACATGATGTCAGAACGTATTGCAGGTTCAGCATGGATGATCCTCTCACGCGCATTTGTGGAGTACTGTGTTTGGGGTTGGGATAACCTTCCTAGAATGCTACTCATGTACTACACAAATTTTATCTCCTCTCCTGAAGGCTACTTTCAAACTGTCGTATGCAATGCGCCCGAGTTTGCTCATACTGCCGTCAATCATGACATGCACTACATTTCTTGGGACATTCCCCCAAAACAGCACCCGCATACCCTCTCCCTCAATGACACAAACAGAATGATAGCAAGTGGTGCTGCCTTTGCCCGTAAATTCAGACAAAATGATCCTGTCTTGGATAAGATCGACAAGGAATTACTTGGTCGTAAAAACGGAAGCTTCACGCCTGGTGGCTGGTGTTCCGGCAGTCCCCCTTGTTCCAAGGTTGGGAACCCTACCAGGCTTAAACCAGGTCCAGGAGCTGAAAGGCTTCGCCGTCTTATAGGTAGGTTAGTTTTGTCAGCCAAGTTTAGTCAAAATCAGTGTAATTAGATTTCATCGAGGCATTTTTGCTTGCGGCTGGATGAAGCAAAAACTGAAAATGTTAGTTCGATTCACAAACCCAACAATAACATGGTAGTATATTGTATTAAAAAAACATCTTGATCACCATTGTTGCTTAGGTTCTGTTCTGGTTATACTCATAGAGTTTCAAAAAATCTAGTTTCTTCTTCGCTCTTCTGCAATTCATAGAACTTTTTTCCTTTATACACTCTTGTCATGAAAATTTTGGATTTTCTTTTTGTGGTTTACTAATTTGGTTTGTGCTATAATTCGGTATCTTAATTTGTTTGGATTAATTACACTAACACCCTATCAGGTTGGCGAAATATCATATTGAAACATCTTTTAAAAATTACTATTAGTCACATTTCAAAATTTTGTTATTATTAGGAAATAGATGTCAGAACGAAAAAATATAAAATTACTTAATATTTTTTGACTTTGTCAAAAGAGTTCTTTAACATTATAGGATTAGATAATAAGACTAAAATATCCCTAAATACTTTACAAATTTACAATTATATATATATATATATATATATATTTCAATCACCAGGATCAAAAAGAGAAGCTTGTACTTCTCTCCAACCTCTGATTGCATTGAATCGAACAACCCACAAATCTATTTCCTATACAGCACCCATCACTCTAACCTCATCTTCTGCCCACACTACATCAATTTCCCAGCCGACTCAGTCCAACTCGCCAACAAAATCCTCCATACTTCAACAAACAGAAGATTTACGCTTTGGAGAGAGATGATGTAATGAATGAGGGCAATTTTGTCCTTTCAGATTGCTGATATTTTGGAATAAATAGCATTAAAAAATTAGGTTATCATTTTGCTCCATTTTTGACGGAAAAGACATTTGGAGTTTGAGTGATAGTTATTTTTTAAAGATATTTTAGTGTAATATTTGTCCAAGCCTCATGGGTGTCACTGAAATTAACCTAATTTGTTTTGGTGGTTTACTATTTTGGTTGTGCTGTAATTCAAAAAGCCAACTATGAGTTTCTTAGAGGTTTCACAGAAGATGCCATGTTGAGAAAATTATCTGCAGTTGCTACATTAATGAATATTATGATAGTTTATTTAGATGAGTGATACATCACTAACTGGACTGGACCGACTCTTTTTAGCTTAGAGAGGATTTTAGTCCGAGTAGGATCATGATATGGCATTCTATTTTACAAATCTGATTTCTTTGTATCCAAATTGTTAAAGAGCGATGACCAAAAACACATCAATTGACTCCTGTTTTTGAATGGACATTGTTGGTCTAGTTGGTGGTAATTCTCAATCCCAGGATCTTCCCATCTCTTTGCATCAATTATCATCCAAGTCGCTGCATCCACCGTGTTCAACTTCAGCTGTGGCGAGACACTGTTGAATTCATTGCTCAAAGTGAGACGCCGCCGTTATCAAGGCCATAGCTTAATGGAATGCAGCCACCCAAAGCAGAAGTTCCGCTCTACAGCCACCCAAAGCAGAAGTTCGGGTTTAAATCCCCATTGAGACAAAATAAGGGTGTCAATTATTTTGCAGTATAAATAAAAAGATAAATAATTAAATAAACCGACCATTACCATATCTCATTGTCATTATAAATTTTTAACATTCCTGAGAATTGCTCCACCGGCTCTAATGACAGCTAACCTCAAAACCATACACCATTCATCCAGAACGGGGATCAGCAGCCCAGGAAAGATCAACCTCTAAACTTTGATAACTGTTATATATATATATATATATATATATATATATATATGTATGTATGTATGTATATAAAACCTCCACCAATTTCAGAACTTAAAAGACACGCAAAAAGATCTATTACCCAGTTACTCCACGAGACATTGAGAAAGGGAAGACTGAAAACAAATCCAATCTCATGGTTTTACACAAAGCGGTTGCTCTAAACTCAAAACACCGAGTTTTACACTTGCAAAACCACACCCCCCCCCCCCCCCCCCCCCCCCCCCCCCCTTTCACGTCTTCTCTGGCAACAAAAATAAACAAAACCTGAATTGAGGATGAAAAACATAAAAAGTAAAAAATAGGGAATAAAAATAAAATTAAAAAAAAAAAAGGGAAAAAGAAGATTACATATATTATGAATGACTCTAAAACTGTAAGCATTACAAAATATATAACACCGCCAATTGCCACCTTTTTTCCCTTTTGAATCTGTATCTACAATACACGACGAGATCAAAGATCCTCACTCTTCACATTACCTGCATTCACTATGATTTAATGCCAAAATTTGTTTTGTTGTTATGACCTTCAATAAAGCAGATCTCAGCAAAATCCTAGGTGCAAGCATCTCCCCTTTCCATCCTTGTTAATTTCTTTTTCAGCGCTCTTTGAGCTCCTCCTCCCATTTATCCCGGTTAAAACAATTCTCCCCAATATACTTCATTAAAACTTTCTGACAGGATAGTCAAGAACCCAAATGGCATTTGACCAAATTAGACCATCTCCAGTAGCTTGACATTTCCTGTGGAATTTGCAGCAACTAAGGTGGACGATTGACCACGCCAACACACAGATGATATAAACTGCGCAGGGTCATCCACTTCTTCACCAGAAAGTGGATCTGAGCTACCGAATTTGAATGACAATACAGGCATGGGGAAGGCTTTGTGGTAGATGACCACCTGTACCGTAAATAATAACATCAGCACCAGAAAAACAAACGGAAATAGCAGCACTAAATATGCACTATCAACCAACAAGCAGCTCTAAAAATAAATAAATAAAATAAAATAAAGAGGTGGTCTAGGAAGAAGGTTGATTTAACCTTTACATAAAATATACTCTGTTTTCACAGGTGTAAATTTTGTAAAGAAGTAAATTGATAACATTCCCTTTAATTAAACAGGTGTGCGATCAACAAAAGTTGCATACTTGACAACCAAAGCAATTACCACTTTATTTATATGGGGAACAGAAAAGAAAGTATTCAGGCTTGAATACTAATATTCCAGTAAAAAGATCAAGAGATAGACAATTAAAAAACGGTAGCACTACTATTTGGAAGTGGCAGGGGAATAAATGAATTTCTTGACATTCAATTAGTGGGAGGAATTAAATAAATAAATAAAAACATGTGAGGAACCAAATTTTTTTACTGTGATTGCATTAACCAAAAGAGATGGTGGTCATGCAAGTTAAGGATTTCATTGGCTCAGATATATTACAACTAATTTTTGCAGATAACCAATGCAACCAACCAAGCACCGCAATTAAAGCAAATGATGTGGCACAGTTAAAATTGACTAGGTATGACTCATTCAAGTTTTGCACTCTTTTTTAAATGTCCTCTATGTTTGGTACAAAGTGGATTATTCATATGATTCTGTGTTAGTATCATAAACTTTTTGTACCATATTTGGACCCAAGAAGGTGCAGAATAACCAGACAGTTAATTAGCAAGAGTGATTTAACTGAGGTAATACTTGATATTCTACCCCCATCAGGGTTTCACAATGTATATTAACTGATGCAGGGTGGGGCCATGTGTTGATGGCAAAGTGCGTAGAAAATTCCCAGTCTATTGACCAATCCATCAAGTAACATTGAAATATAGCACAAACTCAACATGTCCAGAAGTCACTAATCTAGGACAAATTTCCAACAGCCATATCAAATACACCATGAACAGATGCCAAATTAACAATCAATAGATTCTGCAAATCAAGTGGAAGATTCCAGAAACCACTTGTGTTGCATGAATACTGTGAAATTACTTGGATTACACTATGGGATCTCACAGGACTCGACTTGCTTTGCATAATATGGAACCCCTAAACTAAGTTTTGTTTATATAAACAATTTTCAGTCGATACGTCGATCCATCTCTGATGCAATATTTAACGATGAGGGTATTCTTCGCTACGCCAACCATGCAGCTTAATACATAAGTTTGAAGCTCATTTTGCAGTACAAGAATTTGATCTGTATTTCTTCATTAAGGTTCATATTAGATGCTTCAATATGGAAAATTCCTGGTCACTGCACCATAAGAATGGGGGTAGGTCAAATCTGAAGTTTGCTCTACAAAAAACAGATTCGTACCTGACCAACTACTAACCCATGTCAAGTAAATTACTCCATAAATCGTACAGCAGAATCCAACGTGATCAGCAGGATACCTTATTCCCAAAGCATGATAGGACTTTCGTACTTTTAGTAATGATAAACCTGATTATAAACTGCCACTTGGGTTTTACTGTTTCATTTTGTGACAAGAAGTTGAAAAGAAATTTTGAAAGGCCATTGACCAGTATTGGTCCTGCCTACGTATGCCGAAGACACCTAACCTTTGACATTATTTTTTTGCACAAAATGACTGCTCTCGGACTTGAACCTTGTCCTCGCGTTCCTGAGCCAAGCTTTTATGCATGCATCAAGCAAATGGCCCTTAAAGAGGAAATTTCAATTATCGAAAATAGAAAGTAATTGTGAAGGACAATTACCTCATTTTAATGGATCTTTTAATTAACAGGAAAGAGAACATTAAAAAAAGAATAATTGGTAAATGGTAATTCAAATAAGAAAATGAATGGTAAATTCCTGTTTGCATAATCAATAGCAATGTGAGGTTAAAATATGAAGTACCTCATTTGTTTCCGAGCCTGTAGCAATGTAACCTTCCGATACAGACAGCCCCACAAAATTCTGAAAGAAGTCAACATGCATCAGCAACAAAATTTATGCCAAGCATGAGCAGATTTCAACAAGCAATTCACAAATGCAAATTCTATATCAGGACAAATTTGATTATAGAGGATAAATAACACAGAAATTGAAGAAATTTCAAAAGAGATTGCTATTCTAACATTAGCAACATGAGAAATTGTAGGACAGAATTCGATAATAGCAGGGGAATGAAATATTTTCATTAATGTACTATCAAAATTCAAGGCTACAAAGGATATCATTGGCAATTAACAAGAAATCTTCACAGACAATCAAATTCAAATTATTATACTGTAAAAAGAGAAGTTGCCAAACATGTTGAAATTTTGTGTTCATAAATATTCACTCAAGTGAGTGCAGTTCAATTGTCAGTCCAAGAGCCCTAACTATAATGCATCTATCAGTAATGACAAATGTTAATCATTTATTTTATTTGTATCATAAACTTTAAGATAAATTAAAATATACTCATTTCAACTTATTGCAGCCAAAATGAAAATATACCACCCCACATAAACCAACAAATTGCACATATAATGACATTAGGTTAGCTATCACTCTTTTTCCAAAAATATTGCAATTTGATTTGCTGCAATCTTGCAATTCTTTTTGCTGCAATCCTTCTCATTGTTTAGTTTTTTTGCCAGGTGGAATGAAGATTTGGGCTCAATCTTTCAAACATTTCTGTGTGTTGCAGGATATAGGTAAATTATGGGTAGAATGGAAGAGGTAATATAAGAAGTGAAAAGGGTAAAATATATATGTCTATATGTGTGTATATTTTATTGTTCTTGTTTCTGAAAAATATGTTAAAAGCAAGTAATGTGTGTGTGAGAGAGAGAGAGAGAGAGTTCGATAACTGTAAGTCAAAGACTATTACCACACTTAGATATCAAATTCAGCCAATAAATGGTGGAAAACCATTCCGGAGCCCGCTTGTTTTTTGAGTCATCAAATTTCCAAGTCAAATCAAATATTTAAGAATTTCAACAATCTTGATTAAAAAAATTCTCATCTTCAAATCAAATATTTGAGTCATCAGTTTCCTTTCTTGAATGAGATTAATTAGTCATTCGCAGCTCTAGTATTCATAGATAAAATGAGCACATGCTCATATTACAAGAAAAGAAACTAAATCAAATCAAAATCAAATCACAACTTATTCTATAGCATAGTCAAATCGCTACTATTATGGTAAGTCATACCATAAATCGTGGTATCATATATGCTATTATATGCATAGTCAAATCTTTGCTATTATGGTAAGTCATACTATAAATCGTGGTATCATATATGCTAACAAAAAGCAAGTCAACTTGGTTCAAACATGGCACCTAAATGTTAAATAACGAATAGATTAAATCCCTAAATTCTCATCATGTTCAGAAGTGATCATCAAAACTTGAATGGGTGATGGATAAGGTGAGCATCCTTCCAGAATCCAGAAGTACCAGATATAATGTGACAAAAAATTTGCTCCAACTCGTTAAGTAGTTTGAGATTTGTCAACCACTGCCAGTCAACCCAGTTACCAACTTGGTGCCTATTAATGCATTACCAAGATTTCCCATTAGAAGAAAACTCGATTTCAAATAACCACTTGTAACTCAAAGGAGCCGGAGATTTGTTATGATCTGTGTTACCTGAACTCGTCAGAGAAGGCCAGAGTGTCCGGGTCGACACGACACGACACGACACGGACACGGGATATGTGTCAGACCCTCCATTTTTCAATCGGACACGGCTAATAACGAAAATACATAAAATGATGTGTACTATGATGCTTGTGAAGGATTAGGAATTTTTTTCGTGTTTTTTTGTTAAATCTGCAGGCATATGAAGCTTTCTGTTTCAACAATGGCCGTTCTGGTTCGGATCGGTGGTCTGAAGGTTGAAGACGACTTGCTGTTTATGAACCCACACGCGCTGCTTTTGTGCAATTTTTTGTGCCATCTTGTGCGTGGTTTCACGAACTTAATATCTAACCTTTTAACGGTCAGGATCACAACACCTGTTTATTTGGATCTGGAAAGATAAGAGACACTGGGACACAGCTGTAAAAAGTCTTGCATCTCACGTGGAAAAAAGGACCTACTATGGACTTTTGACTCGGCTTCCTTTTATGGTTACAGCTGTAACTTTGCTTTTATGGTACTGCTATATGAATCGGCTTCCTTTTTAATTGGGCTTTTGACTTGTACAGGCCCAAAACCCAAGCATCAATCCATGACTGAGATGCACATACAGAGACATATAAGCCCATATTGAATTAGTCATCCTTTTTTATTGTGCTTTGACTTGTACAGGCCCAAATGCCAAGATACAGAGGCATATTAGCCCAAGCCCAAACTCGCCCTTGGTTAAACAAAAAGAGCCCTACAGCTCAGAATTTCTTATTTACAGGTTCCATAAAAATAGCAGTAACAGGGGAATGCATAGCCATGACATGCCACCTATCAAATGAGGCAAACAAATGCAGTAATAATTATAAAATTCTTATAAAAGAGTACAATTGATATATATATTTTTAGTTTTAGGATTAATGTCTCAAACATAACTTACAAATTTTTCTCTTTTTAAAGTGTCCAAGTACCCCTGTGTCCAATATTTGGACACTTTTAATCCGAGTCCCCGTGTCCTGAAAATTGATAGATTGACGAATCCGACTCCTATACACGCACCCGTGTCCGACACCCGTACCCGAGTCCGGGTAACATAGGTTATGATGATCTGTTGCTTTCATAGATTGTTTAAGTCTCCAATGAAGTGGCATCATAGTAGATAAGTTGATATTGTTAAATTTGGATGCGGAAATAAGAAATGCAAATAGGAAAAGGGTAGAGAGAAAAATGGAGAACACAGCTATATACATGATTCGGCACGAAGGCCTACATCCATGCACAAAGAGCCACTAAGGGCTACATTTTTATTATTCAGATCTATATATTGCTTGAGTGCAAAGAACCTATATATAGGAATGGTAAAGATAAGAATATATAGAAGGTGTACAATATAGTCAAAGGAGGCACCGTGATTGGTGGAGGATTTTCCTCCACCATTATATAGAAATATTTATAGTTGGAAGAAAATTAACCGGATCACCGTGATTGGTGAAGGATTTTCCTACACAATTATATAGAAATATTTATATATTTCAACACTCCCCCTCAAGTTAGAGCATGAATATCATGCCAACTTGTAAAAGAAACGCCTCGAAAGATGATAAGAAGGTGTCTGGAACAAAGCCAAAAAATTGACCAGATCTTGTCGGGGAAAATAACCCCATCCTGCAGGAGAAAATAAATTGGAACAACGCCGGGGAAAATGGCCGGAACAACGCCGGGAAATGACCGGAACTAAGCCGAAAAAATGGCCGGAACAAAATCGGAAAAAGAATGTGAAGACGTAGAGAATATGCTCCATGATAATAACTTTCATACTCCCCCCCAAAATATAGGATCGATGCTCTAATACCATGCTACAAAGCATAAAACATATTAAACAAGAAGAATAAAGAGATTACGTGGTTCAGCCACTAGGGCCAACGTCCACAGCCTGGACTCGTCGACGACGGCCAGAGTGTCCATGTCGACAGGACACGATACGGACACCGAGATGGAATACGTGTCCGACCCTCCGTTCTTCAATCGAACAAGGCTGATGACGAAAATAAACAAAAGGATGTGTAACTCGATGCTTGTGAGGATTAGGGATTTTTTTCGTGTTTTATTTATTAGATCTTCAGCTATACGAAGCTTCCTGGTTTAACAATGGCGCTCTGATTCGAATCGGTGGTCTAAAGGTTGAAGACAACTTCTTGTTTGTGAAATCGCACGCGTTGACTTTACATGTACCTATCTGAGCGTGGTTTCACGCAATTGTTAATACCCAACCTTTAATGGCCAGGATGATGCCACCTATTAACCTATTTATTTAGTTCTAAAAAGATACAGACAATAATGGGCTTTTAATAAAAGTAAAAAATTCAATGCCTTACAGCTGGAAAGCAATACCTACAACTGTGTGTGGTATACAGTTGTTACTTTACCTTTATTAGGAGTTATGACTGATATACACATCGTTTATATTGTTGAGTTGGGCTTCCTTGTTAATTGTGCTTTGACTTGTACAGGACCAAAGGTCAAGACTAAGATGACAATACAAAGGCATATTAGCCCAATCCCAAACTCGCTCAAAAGGAGCCCTTAAAATTTTTGATTACAGGTTCCCATCAAATAGTAACACGGGAATGCATATCCATGACTATAGCCATGCCACCAATCAAATGAGGCAAACAAATGGTAGTAATAATTATAAAATGTTTATAAAAAATTACAATTGATATATTTATTTTTTTATTTTTATGATTGATGTCTCAAACATGAAAAAATCTTCCAAATTTTTTTTAACTTTCCAAAGTGTCCAAGTACCCGTGTCCAATATATGGACACTTTTGAGCCGTGTCCACGTATCCTGTAAATTAATAGATTGATGAATCCGACCCCTAGACACGCATCCGTGTCCGACACCCGTACCCGAGTCCGGGTAACATATCCATGGCACAAAGAGCCCAAAGGGCTACATCACTTTTATAATACTCTCTCTATTTATATACAATACATTGGTGGAGGCTCCTTTATATAGGAGAAGAAATTATGAGAATGGAAATAATTAGAAAATAGGAAACAAAGAGGATATTTCTCCTATGATTCGTCTAGTAACACCAAATCTTCAATAATAGGAAACAATATCAATTACTGAAAGATTCTCCTCCAATGATTCCTCCATTAAATCTTCAATACTCCCCCTCAAGTTGGAGCATGAATGCCCAGCTTGTCATTGAGATGACGAGTAACAAGTGTGAATGAAAAAGAAAGAAGAGAGAAGACGAAGAACAATGCTACCGAACACACCGACAACCCAAACAAGTCAACAAAAACCTACCGTAAACATGGCAAAGGCGAAAACAATGCTACCGA